TTGTTTTCCAAGTATCTTGCCCTCCTGGTCAAGCCAAGTACAGGTACCTCTGAAATTAGCCCGATGTTTCAGAATTGCCCAAGTCATACCCTTCCTTTGCTTTCCAGTGGACCCAATCTTTTGTACTGTGCGTCTGTGCAGCTCCCTTATCCCAAGAACTGAACCTGGTCTTTTCAACCTGGCTGCTCAGCACTGGGCTGCCTAGCACTTCACTGGCCAATCTTCCAGGTTCTTAACTCCCATTACAGACGTGCATTTACTGAACGGATCTCCCAGCTCACAGCTGCTTGCCTGGCTGGCTGCTTGCCTGGATTTTTCAGCATTGCCCAGCCCAGTATCTGTCACTGCTCTTTCTTGAAGCTCTATTATTAGCTGAATTATGACTGAGGCCATGTCTTACTATCTGTCCATCCAGGTATAACTTCCTCTGTTTATTTTGTCTTAGAAGGTAGGTCAGGCCCAGTTATAGATCCTTTCCCCTTTCCACCGCCCCACTGTAGTTTTGGGCAGAATGTAACTCAGAGATGGCATGATAAAAAAGATAGGAATGCTTATGGTGATAGGTGATAGGAAGAAATGTGGACAAGCAGTCAAGTTACAAATAAGGTAAATGTGTGCTCTCCCGTGAAAGAAGGTAAAACATAGCAGTAGGATTTTCAAAGCCTAGTGTAATTTTGGTGCCCAAGAAGCCATGTAGATAATGCATGTTAAAAAAAAATGCTATTGAAAGGTTATGGATATCCGGAACTCTCTGGTGTTCCATATGCAAATCCTAATCTTTAGAAGATTGACCAGTCAAGTCAGGAATATAAGAACAAGATAATGTTGCAGTTTTTAAACTAGATTGTGTAGTAGAGATCAGGCCATAGTTAAATTTCGGATATTAAGATATTAGAACTGAAATTTGAGAATTGGAGAGGCAGTGAGTTGAATTGATAGTGATTCATCTGAATATCAACCAGAGCACCTCAAATTGTCTCAGACCAAGTCATTATTGAGCCCCAGTTCATGGAAAGGGCAGTCATATATCTAGGGGTTTGTGGCTATTAATTTAGCTCATGAGTTCCCCACTAAGAATATTCAGTGTGAACTATGACCAGTAAACTAGTAAAATATGATAGGAATAATTTCATGAGCTTTCCCTTTCTCCGTGTCATTTATCAATAATTACCAGATTTTTACTCTCACAGAAACCTGAAATGAAAAAGCCATCTAGGCAGTGTCTCTAAAGTTGTGTGAGAAGCCTACGTGGAAGAAACTGAAATGGTTTTTCTCTGCCTTCCATTGTATCATTGGCCTAACATATGGTTGAATTATACATAGTCTATTGAGATACGATATTCCAGAATGTATGGGTTGCATCTACAATTGTATGTGTGCATATCTGGGTTGCATCTACAATTGTATCATTGTGCATTGTGCATTGTTGCATTGTAGATACAACCCATATACACACATACACAGATGTATGATACAATTGCATTTACAGTTGCAAATACAATTGTATCATACATCTGTGTATGTGTGTATATGGGTTGCATCTACAATTGTATCATTGGCCTAAGATATGGTTGAAATATACATAGTCTATTGAGCTATGATATTCCAGAATGTATATGCATCTGTATATATGTGTATATGGGTTGCATCTACAATTAAAGAGTAAAAAGAAGTGAAAACGGTTCTGCTAACTTAGAGTAGTGCCTTATTATCCACAAAGAAGGATTTGAGAATAAGGGATCATCAGCTTCATGTCTCTTTTAAATACACAATTTGATCTCTGCCCTGTAAGTTTCAAACAAAGTTCATATTGAAGCAATTACTGTAATTTGTTGCCATTGAGGAATAGCTCTGATTAATTTAATCTTAATGTTTATTGCGATTCTATTGTTTCAGCTTTGTGATAAAGTTGAAAGGTGTGCAAAAATGAAAACACACATTTTCTTCCCCAGAACAACCTTCAATCTAGCAAGGGATATGACATAAAAAAATTAACTGTGATCACAATATGGAAGATGCCAGCAAATTATACACCAAAAAAGAAATACCAAGGAAGCTGTATAGGCAACAAGCAAATGTACGTGTGCACACACACACACACCCCAGAGGATGTCCACAACAAAAAGACTAAAAGTCCAATTAAAAAATGGTCAAAGAACTTGAATAAACATTTCATCAAAGAATATACAAGTTGGCCAATATGCATATAAAAAGTTGCTCAACATTGTTGGTCATTAGCAAATGACTAATCAGATGTGAATCAAATCGTTTCACATCCACTAGGATGGCTATAACGAAGAAATGGCGAGAAAATAACAAGTGTCAGGAAGGATATGGAGAGACTGAATCCCTTCTACCTTACTGATGGGAAGGTAAAATGGTACAGCTGCTGTGAAAATCAATTTGGCAGTTCCCCAAAACATTAAACATATAGTTAATGAATGACCTGGCAATTTTATTCCCAGGCATATAGCCAAGAGAATTAAAACAAATGTTTATACAAAAGCACTTGAATGTTCATAGCAGCATTCATGACAGCCAAAGCCTGATAACATGCTGAATGTACACCAGCTGATAAATAGGTTTTTTAAATGTAGTATATTCATTACAATGGAATATTATTCTGCTATAAAAAGGAGTAAAGTACTGATTCACGCTATAACATGGAAGAACCCGGAAAACACTAAGCTAAGTGAAACAAGTCAGACTCAAAGGAAACCTATTATATGATTCCACTTACATGAAATTTCCAGAATAGGCAAATATTGAGACACAGAAAATAGATTAATGATAGCCAGAGATTAGACGGGAGAAAATACAGAGTGACTGTTTAATGGGTCTAAGGTTTCTTTTCAGGGTGATAAAAGCATTATGGAATTAAATAGTGGTAATGATTACATAATGTCATGAATATGCTAAATATTACTGAATTGTACACTTGGAAATTGTTAATGTAGTAAGTTTTATGCAGCATGACTTTTATCACACTTAAAAATAGTGTGTCACAGGCTGGGCGTGGTGGCTCACGCCTGTAATCCCAGCGCTTCGCGAGGCCGAGGCAGCCAGATCACCTGAGGTGAGGAGTCCAAGACCAGTCTGGCCAGCATGGTGAAACCCTGTCTCTCCTAAAATTATAAAAATTAGCCAGGCTTGGTGGTGGGTGCCTGTAATCCCTGCTGCGTGGGAGGCTTCCGGAGGAGAATCAACTGAACCCAGGAGGCAGAAGTTTCAGTGAGCTGAGACCGTGCCATTGCACCCCAGCCTGGGCGAAAAGAGTGGAACACCATCTAAAAAAAAAAAAAAATACTGTTTCATGTACATACACAAACCAACAGAAATTACAATATAAGGAAAGGAAATTGTACATTCCAAGTGAAAGTACAATTCATAAACTATAGGTATTATGTATTCAATAGGCATGTATGAGAGTTTCTAGTAGGATGTTTCAAAAGTTCATTTGTTTTTTTTTTTGTTTGTTTGTTTGTTTTCACAATTCAGCATCTGTTTATTTTATTTTATTTTTTATTTTTTTAAACTTTATTGCATTTTAGGTTTTGGGATACATGTGAAGGACATGCAAGATTGTTGCATAGGTACACACGTGGCAGTGTGATTTGCTGCCTTCCTCCCCATCACCTATATTTGGCATTTCTCCCCATGCTATCTCTCCCCAACCCCACTGTCCCTCCCCTATTTCCCCCTAACAGACCCCAGTGTGTAGTGCTCCCCTCCCTGTGTCCATGTGTTCTCATTGTTCAACACCCGCCTATGAGTGAGAACATGCAGTGTTTGATTTTCTGCTCTTGTGTCAGTTTGCTGAGAATGATGGTTTCCAGGTTCATCCATTTCCCTACAAAGGACACAAACCCTTCGTTTTTGCTGGCTGCATAATATTCCATGGTGTATATGTGCTACATTTTCCCTGTCCAGTCTATCATCGATGGGCATTTGGGTTGGTTCCAGGTCTTTGCTATTGTAAACAGTGCTGCAATGAACATTCGTGTGCATCAAAAGTTCATTTGTAAATTAGTTTTCTGGAACTGGGATATATGTTGTGGTAGTCAAAATATAACTAACTCTTAGGAAAAGTTAAAAAGAATTATATCCAAATGGTAGCAAACAATTGTCCATGCTCTGTTCCATAAAAGAAAACTGGAAAATCTGCTTATTTTCTACATTTTAATTTCAAAGTTTTTTTATTATTATTCAAAGGATTAAACATTTAGATGATTTATCGATATTTGTTAGCTATTATTTCCTTCTAACTTTAAAATGCATTGTAATTTTGAGATTTCTCAATCAAAAATTATATTTCAGTAAGGATAATGAGCATTATTTTAGTAGACTGGGTGAATATATGTTATCTTAATGTATTTAACTGTAATAATACTGATAATTCTTTTATGACGTTAACTTAAAATTTTTGTACCAACTAATAATATAAAAGGTTTAAAAATAATAGTACTTTTGAAGAAAATAATTTATAATTCTTTTGGTAACATGTCTAAGCTTTGTTTCTTCATTGAATTAAAGTAAGCTTTAATTTATATATAACAAAACTGAAGTGTTATTCATAATGCATATAGAAGGTAAGATATGTAACATAACTGAATTAAAGCTTACTAAGGCTTTAATTACTAAAGTAAGCTTTAATTTAGTTGTGCTTTATGTATGGAGAAAATTCTCCTTAAAAAATATCTACAACATACTAAAATCTACAACTTCCCTCTAAATGGATTCACCATTGAGGCTTAGCTACAGATTTTATTTTTCTTATCCAGCAGTATTGTTTCTATTTAATGCAGTGATCTTTTTGTTTCTTTGTAATTTCTTTTCCAATTAAATAGCCTCTCAAAAATGGCAAGAGACATTTTATGTTGGTTTTTAAATTTAGTTTCTGCTGATGCTTATTTGCATTTTAAGTGGCTTCTGTTTCTGGACTGGGCTAAACACCATAGTATGTGCATATAAACAATTTGTGTGTTTTCTGTTTTTTATAGATTCTACAAAGAAATTAAAGGATGTTCTTGAAGAATTCCATGGTAATGGTGTGCTTGCAAAGTATAATCCTGAAGGGGTAAAACTTCTTTTTCTTTATATTAGTTTCATATATATGCTTAGAAAAGGGTACTTCTTAGTGAAAAATTCTTGGAAAAATGTATGTGTGTGTATGTATATGTACACATATACATTATATATGTATGATACAGTTATATGTATATGTACACATATACATTATATATGTATGATGCAGATATATGTATATGTATGTGTATGTGTGTGTGTATATATATCTATATGCTCACCATAAATCATTTACCATATACCATGACCTAAACAAAATGAATTTTATAATGCAGTGGTTTTCTAGAAGATATGTTAAATGTTGTACTACATTTTTCATTCAGATAACTCTTCTATATTGTATGCTTGAAATAATATGCATCATTTAAGTATAGTGTTGGGTTCTTTTCCCAGAAGTCAGGAAATAGTATTGGACAAAAGAGAGAAAGGGTATGCCTGGCTTTCAGTCTATGACCCACAAATTTCAACCATCAGTGAATATTGGTGTAGGGGTAGGGAGTTACTCCTTTCAGGCAATTATTTCCTTGACCAAACAAGGATTTTGTGTTGCTTATACCTGGTCTGTCACCTTAAGGAGCCAACTTGTACAAAAAGGGAAGAATTTTTTAATCTTATATTTTACCTTTTACCAGTAAGTTTAAGATTTCTTGAAATTATTTTATTAAAACTTTTCATGTCTTGTGAATTTCTTTTGAACACCATGCTTGAATGAATGTCTTTTCCTTCCTAATTATTTGTTAAATTACCTTCTATTTAATATTAGTTGAGAGATGTTACACTTTAAATGTTTGATCATTATTACTGTTAGTTTATTTGTAGCTTCAGCAAGTACCATTTACATTGCTTTGGATCAAAAACTGAATGTCTCTTTACAAAAGACTCTTTTGTCTGGATGTATTAACTAGAAAGATTTGTTTTCTTACTAAAATGTGACCTGTTTTTTGTTATTGTTTTGTTTCTGTATGCTTGCGAGAACACACTTCTTAGTTATCTTTTAATATTGTACTTCCCAGGGATTTATAGAACTTAATTTTAGCTATCATAACCCTCAAGATATTCAAATTGTTTTGAAATTTTCTATCTGTATTTCTCATATTTAGCTATTTTTCATGTCAAATTTTCTTATTCTCTCTACATTCTGGTACATTACTGTAACTTTTAAAACTCTTTAGCCTAGAAATTACTCTTAAAAAATAAAATTAATATTTGGTGCCTATAAATGATGGAGAATATAAATACTATTTAAAACCGTTCCCATTTTTCTCTGTTAAAAAAAAAAATAGCTGTCTAACCTACACTTCCCTCATATTTTATTTTCCTAGATGTCATAGAGGTGGAGAAAAAAAGTTAACAGCTGAACCTATAGAAATGAGAATCTCAAAGTCTAAGAAAGAAGAGTTGAAAAAGTAAAGATGAATTATAACACTGAATTCCTATGACACAAAAATTGTAATTAATATTTATATTCACAGCAATACCTGAAAACTTGCATGCTTATCTAATCTATATACAGAGATAAAACCTGTTTTTTCCTCCCTAATGGTAGCTTCTGGCTACAAACTCAGTTAAGTGATCTTGTTTGCAAAGCAGCCTTTTTTCTTCAATTATTTCTTATTTATAGGACTCTCAAGACTTAGTCTTGCTGTTTTATATTTCATGAGAATTACCAGTCTCTATATGCTGCATCTATTAAGGTAGTTATTAGATTCATTATTAGACACACATATCACCCTTTTCAACAATGGAATATATTTCATAATGTACAGATCTATTGTTGAAATGTGTCATTAAAATAATAAACAGTTGAAAAACAAAAAATTAGATCTCATTATAACCCAAGAACAATTCTTAATTAAGAGCTAAACCACTGTGTGATCTTAATTAATCCTGATAAAATTTTTCCTTCAGAAGAAAATTTTGAGGTTTATATAATCATTTTAAAAGCTAGTACGTATCTTCTGAAAGCCAATCAAAAACTAATGGAGAATATTCAATGATGAGAAATAATTCTTTATGCCCTTAAGTTTCTCTTCAATAGATGATCTTTCAATTTATAAAAAATTACTTTTACAATATGACAGAATTCCTAATGTCAATTCACATGTGAAGTTATCACTTTCCATTGACTGGTCACCTTGATCCCAAAGTTGTCTGCACTGATGACAAGTTAAAGATGCTCAATTATACAAGACAAATTAGACAAGTGAGTAATCCAGCCTGAATTTGAAATGAATAATTATTCCATTGTTCTCTAAAAGGAACATGGCTTATATATAAAATGTAATTTCAAAGAGAATATCTGTTAAATTGCTTATCCTCCTATAATGTAAAGCTGTGTAAATGGTAGATGTACTATTTTGTTTGTAATTCACTTGAATTACTGAATTTTTAAAGTGCTGTAGTTAAAAATTTAACCCAAAAAGATGTGACATGTTGAAGTCTATTTTAATAGAGAAAAAAATGTTATGGATATATGTATGAATGAATCATTTACTTTTCATACCTATCTTTTAAAGATAATTTGATAATTATTCCTTGAAGAAATGAATAAGATTAATATAAACAATAGCCTTAAAGATTCTGTAGGAATGAAAACCTTTTTTTTTTGTTTTGTTTTTTTTTTGTTTGTTTTGATTTTTTTGGACGGAGTTTCGCTCTTGTTACCCAGGCTGGAGTGCAATGGTGCGATCTTGGCTCACCGCAACCTCCGCCTCCTGGGTTCAGGCAGTTCTCCTGCCTCAGCCTCCCGAGTACCTGGGATTACAGGCACGCGCCACCATGCCCAGCTAATTTTTTTTTTTTTTTATTTTTAGTAGAGACGGGGTTTCACCATGTTGACCAGGATGGTCTCGATCTCTTGACCTCGTGATCCACCCGCCTCGGCCTCCCAAAGTGCTGGGATTACAGGCTTGAGCCACCGCGCCCGGCATGAAAACCTTTAAAAGGCCTTGAGATTCCCAAACTAATAAAATTACAAAGTTGTTAAATAAACTATTTTAAGAAAAGTGAAATGATTTTTTCAAGACTCACGAGCTAGCTCATGACAGTAACCACAACGAAAACCTAATTGACTAGAATCCCAGTTTAAGGTTAATGCCCTGTGCTCTCCACTTCTTTGGCCAAATCATAGGAGTAAAGAATGTCCTTTTAGATAGGAAGGAGAAAAGTTAGGGGAAGGCATGGGAAGACATTGCTTTTGTACTGAATGTGGCACTTCCCACTACACATACATATTAATGGCCCATGCTTAACGAGGTAAGAGAGTCTTATTAGGCTCCACCTACTCTTGTGTAAATAATATAATGTTAAGAATATTATTACAGCTAGTTTGTAGCAGAGATCCAGTCTCAATGAGAGAGTATTCACAGTAGAACATAGTCAGGTAATATAAATAGTCTCCTGAGAGCAGTAGAATTTGGTAGTAAAAGGAGGAGCCAGTTTAGCATTGCATGCATTTATTTTCTTTTGGTCTTGGACTTCAAGTTCAATTCCAAATTGTTCAACTTACAGCTGAGAAATGGGAAGAAAGTGGCAGAAGTATTTATAAATATATTTTAATCTTTAAAAGTATGGAGAGACGCTAGGTATGTTATGCTAATAGAAGGAAAGCTTAGGAATTTGAAATACATACAAAATCTAATATACCTTTATATACATGGTTACATTTCTATTAATCCTCTAAAAGATTTTAATCATATTGTATGTGTTACATTATATTTAATGTCAGAAGAGTTTGTTTGTTATATACAAAGATGGATCTAGTCATTGATTCTCAAATGTTGGTGTATCTCAGAATCCACTGAGCACACAAAAACATGGATTTCTGCCTGGCTCCACTTCTCCCTGCAGTTTTTGATTCAGTGTGTTTGGGGCGGGGGCTCAAGAATTTGCATTTCTGTCAGTTTCCCAGCTTCTGTTGCTGCCACTGTTTCAAAACCACATTTTGAGACCTGTGGATCTAGGGTATGTTTGAAAATCAACCTGGAAACTTGAACTTTTAGCTAAATAATCAGAGATATGAGATAATGAGTGTAAATTATCTTACATTAACACATGTATTCTTTCTTTCCTTGCATGCACAGAAACAAGACATTCTTAACCAAGTAAGACATTTTCTTTTCTATTAAAGTCTGTCTTTTCTTTCTTTATTCTTATATGATTTATGAATTTCTCATCCATATCACTGAACTATACTTCTGTACCAATAAGATTTCTATAGTGTACAAGATTGCCTGTAATACTGATAAGTTATAATTGAGTTGGATGTAACAAAATTTTTAAATCGTTTTAATCAGTCAAAGGATTTGGTACCCTAATAGGAGCTAGGTCTCAAGTGTGGCCTTCAGTTTTGTAGACTCTAGAATTTATTTTTCTAATTTCACCAAGGTATATCAGGCTATGCTGTTATAATTTATTTAGTAAAAGTCTTAATTTATTAATTTACAAGGGGAAATTTAAAAATTACATTTAAAATGCGGTGATAAGGCCTTTTTTTGTTTTGTTTTGTTTTGTCTGCAGTGTTGCGATAGAAACTGTAGGGAAAATATAACCCAAAAATTGTTGATGTTGCCCTACTGGGAAGTTTATTCAATCTGTTGCTTCAGCCACTCTCCCCGAAAATCTGTTTTGTAAACCAAGTTTTAAGTCAGTAGTTCAATTGGATGCAAAAAATTACAACACATTTTAAGGTGCTCTAAATGGATATTTTTAATCACACTAGAGTAGCTATATTAGTAGCCTTCACCACTTCAGAAATATTTCTTACTAAAATGCATGAGTTGTCTAAAACTATAATATTGTCTCCTTTGGGCAGTCTTGCATATGTACTATCTTCTTATTCTTAAGTTGTTTGATAGTTTTAATGTCAACAGCCACTATAATTTTATGTCCATCACACAAACTACAATTATAACATCGGAATGATACCAGTGGATTATAATATACAGTTCCTATATATTACAATCTCCTATAATGAGTCACTGCTAACACGGCAACTCATTGACTTTGGCAACATTTACTAGCCTCCATTTCAGAGGATGGCCTTTTCCTGATTTCATCTCTGACTTTTCTGGAAAATTGTTTCCCCAAATATGGATGCCATGGGCTTTATGATACTTAAGAGGCAATCCCTTGGAGTAAATGATCATTTTCAAGAACATCTGCATTTTCAGGACTTGGCTATTAAATGGTTTTTACTGAGCACCCAACAAATGCACCCTTTTGCACAACCTGCATCCTAACTAGAGGCTGTCTGAAACTGATGTCAAAATAAGCTCTAGCTTTTTTAGGGGTCAGTAGAATGAGTTTTGTCCTTCCTTTTCCTTGCCCAATCTTTGTTCCATGTGCAAGGGCTTAGCAGGCAAGCAATTTCAGTTACAGAATAGAAAGACTTGACAAAACGGAGGGTAGTCAATGGGGGAAGGAATGGAAAGCCTGCACATGTTAATGCTCTATGTGTGCTCTTTGTCTATCAGCGTTCTCTGAGTGTAGAATTTTCTCCATATATGTTTCTTGTCAGTAGATGTTCCTTGGACTGAGGCTGAGTTACGCTTACATAGCTCCACATGGCTTGCTTTACTTTTGCACTTGGTACTCTGTATTGTAGTCTCCCTTAATGTGTATACCCTTTACCATCAGACGATATGCTTTTACCCCTTAATAAGGAACCAGGGGATTCAAAACCTACCTTTCGTAGTGTTGCTGCCTAAAGTAATATTTTAAATGTCTTTAACAAAGATAATGACACTGATATAATTATTAACAATGATATAAAAACCTTTTTACTGTGAGCTGTAATTATCCTTCTAGAACCAAATTCAACCCTTTCATGTTGGAAAGCATAAGTAAAGTCTAAGAGAGAAAACCTGGTCTGAGGAGTCTGACTGAACTGAGTTCATGTTAATGGGCCTTGGACAAGTTTTCTTTCTTCAGCTTGTTCACCTATAAAATGAAAAGAGTATCAGCTTTATTGGACTGTTAAAAGAGTTAGATTCTAAAGTATATGTACAATAACTAGTTCTGTGTCTTGCATATAACAGGTGTTCCATTAATGTTTAGAGACAGTGACTGTGGTCATACTTTAGTGACCAATGTGATTTCATAGAAAAGTTCCAGAGTCCCTGTCAAACATAAGACTGAGACTGCTGGAAACATACCACCAACAAATTCTGTTTCCTTTATTTTCTCAGGACCTCGTTTTCTCATTTTAAATTGAGGAACTATAACTCTGATGTTGTTTGCACTCAAAAATAATTTCCTTCCACCACGTGGTAGAAGTAGGGGACATGACATGTAATTTGCTGCTTCTGCCAAGCCTGGCCATACTCCTGAGTGCTGTCCTGGTGGCAGAGCTATTGTCTTTTGTGTTGCTCCCTTGCTACAACTGTGTGGTGCTAGGATCTTTAGTTAGCAAGGAACAGAAGTAGCATGTTAACCAGTATTTCTGCTTCTCTTCACCATTGCTATCAATATAGTTTCAGTGATGTTCCTCTTCTTATAAAATCCACCTACAACTATAAAATACAATTATACCAGTTGCGATCAACTGCTGTCTTTACAAACAAGTTTTGAAATCAAATATAAATATGTTTGGGAAATAAACATACAATTAACTCTCCTTAGTTTGATAATAAAAGCCAACTTTGAAAAGTGGTATTTCAAATTCACATTGTAGCATGTTCTTTGATTTTTTTGATAACATTTTCTAAACAATTGATATAAAAATTATAAACTACGTTAATGAAAAAATAATGCTGGCATTTTTAGGTGGTCTTTTTGTACTTTTCCAAGTATAAGTGAAAACCAACATTACTCTGTCACATGTAACTTTTATTTTTAGGGTTTATCTGTTGTTTTTACTTTTTCTTTTTTTCGTTATTAGAAATAGCTTTTTTGGCCAAGCGTGGTGGCTCACACCTGTATTCCCAGCACTTGGGGATGCCAAGGCAGGCAGATCACTTGAGGGTTAGGAGTTAAGACCAGCCTGGCCAACACAGTGAAACACCATATCTACTAAAAATACAAAAATTAGCTGGGTGTGGTGGCGGGTGCCCATAATCCCAGATACTTGGGAGGCTGAAATGGGAGAATCACTTGAACCCTGGAGGTGGAGGTTGCAGTGAGCTGAGATCACACCACTGCATTCCAGCCTGGGCAACAGAATGAGACTCTGTCTGGAAAAAAAAAAAAAAAAAAAAAAAAATAATTTTTTTGAGCAAAAGAGCACTGCAGGGTGCTAAAGGAATACAAATCTAGACATTTTGGTAAAAAGACTTAGAATGTCTAAGAATTTTAATTTTTATAGGTTAAAGATATCGTATTTTTAGGTGAATAAGTTAAATTCCCAATTTAGAACAATATCTCCAGAAGCAATGTGGGCCATGGACTTGGGTAGAAGAGAAGACCACAGATGAGTTATGGGAGAAGTACAATCAAGTAAGAACATTGAGATGACACTGGGCATCAGAATGGAGATGGGGTGCAGGCAGATTTGAACATATTTCATATGTACAATGAAAAGTCATAGGTTATATTTTGAATGTCAAAGGGTACATAAACAGTTACAGTCTACACAGGGTTTTCAAGAGTGGGCAGCTGAATAATCATACCTTTACTTTTAATTGTTATACCTTATTTGTGTATATCTTTTTTTTGAAATGGCAGAACAATTTGACACGCCAGTAAAAAAAAAAAAATGCATCTAATACTGAAAAACCCGTGGCAAATTACCTTGTTCAATATTGCAAAATCTGTCTGTAAAATTATAACGCACATTGAAGTTAGAAATATGTATGTCTTCAGTGTCAGAAGCTTTTGGTGTTGGGCAATTCAATGAGCTCTTCTGAGCCTCAGTTTCTTTGTCTATAGGTATTGTGTTGATTAAATGATAGCATACATGTAACATACTTAGTGCAGTTCCTGAAACATACTGACATTTGGAAGGTGTTACATAATGAGGACCTATAATGTAAAAGACTGTGTCTTACGCTTAGTGATGCAAAGTCGTGTTGGATCATATAGCCCTTCAGGAAAGAGAAGTTTTGCATGGAATCTGCCTGCCCATATGTGTGCATTATAAACTCCCCCTGTGGAGACTTTCTTTAAAAGTGAACATACAAGTAAGGACTAATTAAAAATTAACCTTATTAATTGAAATTATATATACAAAGGTGTTCAAGACACTTTTATTGGGTTTTACTTTTCAAGGAGAAAATAACGTTAGAGGAGTTATATGTGTGTTTCAGTAACACTCACTCCTGTCCTAGTGACAACACCGAAAACTGTCTGGTGTGACAAGACAGTGTCACATTAGACTAAAATAGATTTTAGCTAAAGTATAAAACAGTTAGCTATAGATCCTTGATTACAAAACATATTAAAAATCATAGTAAAAATATTCTGCTTAAAATTTTTCCAATCCATGATTTGCATTTTGTAATTACTAGAATGTAGTAGCATTTTCTTTCTTGCCATTTCCTATTTTTTACTAAAAAATGCATTTCTAATTGTGTTTCTACGGAGTCTTCATAAATTCTATTCTTAGGTAGCTAGAGTTAATGGAGTATGTGCTTCTGAAGTGGTAAAATATTTTTCATTTGCCAAAACTAATTTAAAAATTAAAATTCAAGGTTTTCACACTTTGCGCTCTTTCTTTTCAAAGGAAGTATTTACAAGCCAGCTTTAGGGGACTACCAAGGAACTCTCTGAAATCTGAAGTAATGAATGGTCAATTGCAGTGCAAGATAAGCATAAGCCAGTTGTAGCGCAAGATAAGCAAATGCAATATTTAAAATATAAATTTTTCTAAATGAATTTTAATATAAAAAATTATATTTTGAAATCTCAGAAAAATTGCTATGTTGCATATTTAATAAATATGCTTTGGCTCAATGGCCTTGATAACAATTTTTTAATTTAATATAAGTAATGTTATAAATTAGAATCCAGAATAGAAATAGAAACTGTAAAACAAACAAACAAACAACTCTGCTTAATTTAAATTTTTATCTACCTAATTCCATCAGAGTTCTTTGCCCAGGAGGCACACAGTATTTTACAAATATAGGTACTCAGTCAACATTTGTTGATTAGATAAAGCAATTTC